GATGGAATCAATCATCGCAGATGTGCTGATGCAATACCTAGAAAGCCACAGTTTAATAGCCCCAGAGCAACATGGCTTTCGTCAAAAGCGTTCGTGTAATAGTAACCTATTACTTACACGTAATAGCTGGACTGAATCTGTTTATGATGGAGTAGGGGTCGATGTCATCTACCTGGAATTTTCAGAAGCGTTTGATCGCTTAAACCATCACATTTTTATCCAGAAGCTTCGAAATTATAGTATTTGTGACCCAATCCTGATTTGGATTGAAATTTTCTACAAGAACGGCGGCTAGTTTTGAGAGCTCGAAAAACACATTCTCATGAAATCGATGTGGCTCGGTTCTTGGACCTTGTATTTTCTTGGTGTTTATTAACAATTTGGCGCGATCAATTACTTCCGATTTCCTAATTTGCGCTGATGATATCAAGCTATGGCGAAGGATCAGAGGACCGGACGACCATGGACGGATCCAGTGCCATCTTAACACAGTGTCTAACTGGTCACTTCAAAACGCCATTCCGTTCAATGTAGACAAATGTCGCGTCGTACAATTACGCCATATTCATAACTACACCTATTCACTTGGGACCAACGGATTACAGAATAGCTCCCAGGAACGTGACCTTGGTGTGATGGTACAGTGTGACCTCAACTTTTCAAAACAGGCTGAGGTAGCTGCAAAAAGAGGCAACCAGCATGTCGGCATGCTGCGAAAGGCATTCGGGAGATTTGACCCATCAATCTTCCCAAAGATGCATAATTCCTATGTGCGCCCGCATGTTGAATACGCTATCCAAGCTTGGCAACCTTGGTTGAAGCGCGACCTAGAAGCGATAGAGGCACCACAACGAAGGGCAACAAAGAATGTAAAGGGCATGCGCCATCACTCTTACCACCGAAGGCTGAAGTTGCTCGGAATTTTCAGCGGACGCTATCGAAGGCTGCGCGGCGATCTCATTTTGGCGTATCAGATACTGAGTGACCCCAACCACGTATGCCGCCATTTGCTGAAACTTAGCCACAATACGCAGCTCAGGGGTAACTGCTTAAATTTGAAGGGAAAATATAGCCGTTTAGAGTGTCGACGGAATTACTTTTCCCTTCGGGTTTGCAAACCTTGGAACGCACTCCCAGACCCAGTTGTATCCTCTCATACCCCGGGTGTTTTCAAAAAACGACTAGATGTTGCCCTTAGCTCCCAACATTTTGTTACCTCTACTCCCCTACTGTGGATTATGCCAAGGATGCATTTCAACAAGATTTATGTATCAAATGGACCTAAGTGAGCGACCATGTTTTACTTTTCTCACTCCTTACCTCAATGATCACTGCACCCCAGTGTCTTTCTGAACGTTTACGCTAGATAATTTATTTTAATTTTACACTGATGTTACTTCTCAAAGTATTCATCTCGGCAGACGTTTTGATTTCATCATATTCACCTCAACCATCCTACGGGATGTGTCAAGTACTTGCTTTTATCTCGTGATAAATCATTGTTCATTGTTCATTGTGCACAACTACGAGAAAATAATGGTCGACACGTTAAGCAAATGTGCACAACTTCACCGCACCGGTCGTAGGTGCTACTTTTCCGTTACACCTCCTACGAGATTCGCGCCTGTACAAACAACGTTGAAACAAACACAGCCACCTACTTCGACTACCTTTCCAACTCCGTCGAAGGATTCAACTGGATCACTGACTGAGGAATCGCCCGATGTTGCTGTGAAGGATTTTGTCAACCAATTCACCGAGACATTGACAAATGCTTCGGAAGCCAAATTCATTCGACCGAAACAAGCGACTTCCTTCCTGTGGAGCCGGACTCGAAAACCCATGATTATAAGATAATGGGCAAGAAAGGTTAAAATGCCACTCCGAGTAGGCAGTATGGCTGACTACATAAATCAACTGAAACACTGCTTCACGTTGGACCGTGAAGACAAGCTCCTGCAACCACATAAATCAACGAACTTTGCAGTCCACTCGCAAAGGTCGAAACTGCTACTTATAACATTTGTTATTTAGACTGCATTTTTGTCTAACCAAGAAGTATTAGGGCCCTTGAAATTTCTAATACGTTGATATATGCACGTGGTTTTGTCTGAAGCTTTAAGCAGTCACGTTTTTACATTGCAGATGCAAAGCGCATTCAGCTAATAACCGACGATGCTATTTGTAAACAGTTTCACTTGCCATCTCGCATAACAATTGTGGCAGAAAAATGGGTATACATTTTTAATTTTGGTTCGATTCATGAAATTTAAGCATCCATCAGCATGGCAACTGACATACACCTCGTATGTTGCTTTCCTAAGAACTAATTCCCGTATACTAAGAGTTTTGAAATGTAGGTTTTTTACATATTCTAGCTGGCTTATGCATCCAAAAGACAAATTTTTCCACATGATAATATTCACATAATAGATAATTACCTGGAAATCGTGCGTTAGTCGGATGCATGTTATCGGAGATAGCGCATTAAACAAAGTGTTTGGTAACGTGTTTATTGTTCATTGACTAGCACGGTTTACAGTGTGATAGATTCAAAACCATTCAAAACTTGCCCGCTCAATTCACGGAGCTCGCAAACCATTTCATTTTTAACTCCACTAGTTAGGTAAGGGAAACTAGTCCGTGCTTTGATAGCAGGTCTTTCGTATTTTGGCCTAGCTCAGTGACTCCTCCCCACGCACATATATGATGGATTTGATCATATCTGAGGCAATAAAGTGCTAGCTAGAAAGACCTAACATTATAGCGCCTGCCAAACACGGATTCATTCAAAAATGGTCATGTTCTGCCAACTACTGATTCCTCTCTGGATTCGGACAATAACCGTGAATACTGTGACCAAAGCCATTGTAGCTACAACACAGTATTAAAACCTAATGTTAAGTTTACCGCATCCACCTCCAAAATTTGCACATGTGGTATTGGGGATCCTCCCCTTGGATGCACGGAAATTTCCACCTTTGGCGGCCGATTCAGGTTTGGGTTAGGGGCGCATTTTCCGACTCTACTGATCTGGTTTGCGGTGTTCTATAAAGGTCATTGTTAAAGCCGCTTATCTTTTTATCTTCCTCAAGGACATTTTCATGTCGTTGAGTCGCTGACCGGTCTTTTTTCGATGACATCAAGATAGGTTGGCGAGCAACAGTCCTGAATAACTTGATCGGCTCCAAAGAGAATTTACCTGTACTTTTGTATAATGAGACGCAAACCGTTTCGGATCAACACGAACAAACACAAAACTGTGCATGTAAGCCACGAACCCAAAGAAAACAATAAACTTGTATTTTAAAAATTGCCTTACAGGAGTGCAATAGTCCCAGGTATTCGGAGCTTTATTTGAAACTCTTCAAGATCCCAAGCAGATGTCGATTCCTTACGGACAGCCTTCTTGCACTTGGACCCTACACGTACACGCCCAAACCACATATGAGTCCTGGTGTACCTTACTTAAATCACACCTGGCAACACTTGTTTAAGCACGAACTGGCTGCATTGGAGACCCCACAGTAACGGACAACCAATGATATGAAGCGCATGTCCAATTACCATACCAACTGCAACTGAAAGCTCACGGGTTGCATAGTAGAAGTTATCACTGTTACCAGATGACTAATTCCTTACCATCAGATTCCAATTATTTTTTAGGCACTCCTTAAGATTAAGCACAAAACAGAATCATACGCCGTCCTAGCTAAAGCTGGCCACAGGGTTGAAATGCTGCTGGAAGTGATATTTCTTCGCCCATCTCTAGCTTTATATAGCGCAAGTTTGTCTTGTAATCCCAAGTTGCGCGTTAGAAAATGCATATGAGTTGGGTGACCCTGGTAGTATCCTTAGCATTTCTGTGATTGCTGTTGTTGACGCAGCGGCGTAACCCCTGTAGGCGATACCGGCGTACTGATTATACAATCTAAAACTTTATTATTTTTCAGGAACTGGAATGTATGAGCTCTTGTTAACGAATCTAAATAGAGGCTTTGACGATGCATTATAAGATTGAAAATCCTCTCTTGGACTGAAGTCAAAACACAACAATATTGCTCCCAAATCCTGCAAAATTGGAACAAACGGATTCACGTATATTTAACTTGGATGGCGTTTCATTATGTTATACTTATAGGAATTACAAACTTACCTCACATGCCTATCAATCGTTAGACGTTTTGCCTATATTACAACACAGCTCTCAGGCAGACTAAACTCTATACATGTTCACAATTAATTGCCTGCAGCGAAAATTTTAGTAAATATTACTGTTTGCCCCGTGCTGCCATATCGCGGGGAATCCGAGTGAATTGGTACCCATTTTGACAGCTAGTGCTATTCCGCAGCTGTGATGAGCTCATTGGAATGACCAAAATTTCACCCGCCTGTAACCAGAAACTGATTTCCCGTATATTTGGTCAATAATATACGTTCCATTGTATTACTGGCTAATACGAATTTCCCCATCCTTGGTTGGTCTACGAAATCAGTGCTACGCGATTGGTCAAACTTAAAATAAAACAGATTGCCACTCAGACGACAATTAGCACTCCGAAATAGTCACCTTTTCTTAATGGTCAAAACACACATACTGACTTTACCTTGGGGGAAGAAGTATGTTACCAGGATCTAACTCATTATACATTGTAACACTTAACATACTTACCTTGGAATTAAACTTGTGCTTTTTGCAACTTGCTGTACTAGGAATATCTATTTACGAAAATCCCAAAAAGCAATCATGCATATTTCCGACAGTTCATCAAAGAAAAGCCATGTACGAGTGCCAAAATTCCGCGCTTTCTCCTCCTACTGAGGACTTCCATACAGATTCGAATAGAGAAGCTATTTGGTGGTGCTCACTTACAGATAATTTTGACCATTATCCTGAATGGATGGTTTGTCCTGAAACATCTACCACGTACGCAGGCAATCAACCAGGGCACACATGTCACTTTCCCTTTGTATATAAGAAGAAACTACGCAATACTTGCATGCGCACTGGTGAAGCACTAAAGTTCCATCACCCAGATGATGCGATTCCGATTGACGACGGAAAAACTGGATATTGGTGGTGTTCCACAACTCCGGATTTTGACCGTGACGGTCTGTGGACACGGTGTCGACCTCAGCATGCTTACATGTTACCATGCCACTTTCCCACGCGTTTATCCAGCAGTATCCCTGTGGGCGGAATCGTTCGCGGTTTAGATCGTGAATGTCAACCGATTGGAGGTAACTGGTTGTGTCGCACTGAGCTAAATCAACTGAGAGAGTGTCCAAAGCAACGGGATATCAGATCGGAAAATGTCGAACAACAAACGGAAGGCGGCAATGACCCAGGCTATCCGTGCTATTTTCCATTCCAGGCAACGGTTCCTATATTATCCGCTAATGGTAACTGGGTTGGGAAACCCAGTAAACGGAACCTTACTCACTGTTTGCCTGGTATAGAGAAATCTGAGTTCCACCCGGAATTTATTTTTCCTCCATGGATCGGATATTGGTGTTCGACCACAGCAAATTTTGATGCAGATCATTTGTGGACCCGCTGCTCCATCCATGCCGCTGAGAAAAACGCTTTATTTGCGCACACCATCTTTCAAAGTGGACAAACGTTGGCACATTTGTGGTCGTACATCCACTGGTTAAATTGGCTTTCGAATAGCGAAAGTAGCAAATTAGATCCCTCTACTTTGGCATTTAGCACAGAATTCGAGAATGCTCTGAAAGAATTGAATTTATACCGCACTCAATGGGAGATTGCACATTCAACAGAAGATAACGTGGAGCTGCAGTGGTGGACGTGGCTCGCACCATTTTGGTGGACTTCCTACAGGCTTAATCACACGAACCGGCTGGATGGCTTGTTGAGACACTCGACACAAACAAACGAAGAAAGTAATCCTCTGTCAAAAGGATTTCAGTTACCACAATGGGTGGAATCTTGGACCAGTGGTGTCAGCTGGTCCAATTCCGGTAAAGAAATGAACGCACGCTGGAAAAAACTGAAGCTAATTGTGAGCTCTCAGTGGTATAAATCCTGGTTCACGGCCTACCTACTGGGTATATTAACTGCTGTTGGGGTGATCGTTACAATGCATTTACTGTTTTTTGCTGGCATTGAGAGACGCAAACGTGAGGCAGTATTTCAAATCATGTGCAAAGATAGAGGGAAAAATCCTAAGCAATATGACAACGTTACCGGCGTCCCGCAAGATGGCACTTTACCTGGCTATCCTTATTTTTCCCGCCCAGGAATTTGTTCTGATGAATTGGATGCTGGAGTAGGTTCCCAACCTAGTGGACAAACGCGTCCCAACTCTTATTCTTCCCAAAGTTGCTTTTTTCACCCTTTCTGCCATGCGGAGGAAACTGACCAACATAAAACGGATTGCATAAAAGTTATGAATATAGTTCTGGAGAACAGTGACAACGAAGGAGTAAATTGTCAGACAAACATAAACACAGACCGCTCATCAGCGGTGCATTTTCCCTGTTGGAGTTGCACCAAATATGCAACCTGTGTATGGCACTACCTGTCCATAAGAGAGGCACTAGATCGAGTCCACGGTGATTTACGGAAAAATGAGATGTGTAACTCGGTCACTTGGCAGCATCTGTGCGATCTAATATGGAAACACCGACAACCAACACTAACCAATTGCGAATTTTGTCGTTCCATGATTGACAGCACATACGAAGTCCCAGAGCGTGATGAAGAATGTCCACGCGAGCTTACATGCCCGAATAGAGTAACAGAGCCTTGTGTTGAACCCTCTGCCCCACCTCCAAGTTATGATCAAGTTGCAAAATAAAAGAGTGAAATTCCCTCACACGGCAGAAATGAAGGTAATGGTCTGTTTGTTTGATTGGCCCCTTCGGTTGTTGTAAATGGAAAATTTCCTAGTGTTATTCGTCAACATTCCGCTTTAAACTGGGTTGTTTCCCGGTTTAACTTTCCGTTCGTTCTGATGATCATGTGTTGTTTTATTGTGAACCGTAATTGTGCCAAAGCGATCGGCCTTTTCAACATCATGTGCTTGTAATTTAGTGTTCATGAACTTGTCAACTTTTCAAAACATGGATCAAATTTTTTTGTTATACAATAGCGCATCAATCATCTTCATTACGGTTTTAATATTGATCCGCAGCGTCTTTCTCCACTGTTAACCATTAGTGTCCTCTGAATCGCTACTTTACATTGTCAGCTGACAAACCTTATGGTCAGTAGATAACGCTCTGCATGTGTGCTGCGTTTGAGCTGAGTTTACTAGGAAACATCACAGGTTCTCAATAACTGCAGTTTTGAGTTAAAATCGGCGGTAAGTAGTGTTAAGTTAAATATATGAACCTAATGGCGTTGATAACATTAGTGCAAAATAATTCTTTGAAAGACATGCGATTTCTGTCAATATGATGGAATTCATCCCTAGACAGTTCACTAGATGGTGTTGAAGCTGAAGGCAATTTACCGATCACGATTTGTGGAATTCATATAGGATTGGTACGAATTTATGCATGGATGACTAAAAGCAATCCACCAAATTGCAGCCAGATATCCTTAAATGAATTCTACTATATAAATAGGAGGTTCAGGGAGTAGTGAAGGTAGCATAGGGTGATTATTTAACTACAATTAAACACATTTGGCTGGTATTCTGTTTAGTCACAAAATTGAACACAAGAGGCAAATTATAACATTAGTTACACTTGCAAGTTATGTACTCCAACGAACTAAGAGAACATTGTCCAGAGATAGCCCTATAAGCTTTAGTAATAATTTCCGGGTAAGCTTTCTTGTCAGAACGGTATTGTGTTTAAAGTCTCGTAAAACATAACTTTTCTTTTATTGTCGTACGTATGCATTATGTGAAAATATATCATAGAGAAATTTTTCCAACTGATGACCTTATGCTTAGGAAAATATCCGCCCATCATCGGGGGACAAAGGTTCACAGCAAAATGGAATGGCGTATACATTTAACAAGAATAAAATATTTGGTTCATGAAATGGCCATGCGTGTTCCTTTTCTTTGCGATAATTACCGGCATTCAGACAACGCCGAGCGGCAAATAGACGAATAAAGAAAGGCAGAAACGTAAATGATTTAACAGTTAGAAAATGGGTGACACATTATGCGTAAGATAAACCCACTGCTTTTTAAATACGCTACGAAAGACAGGGAAAATGCAAACACCTAAGTGTTCCAGATGTTGAAACTAAATGCAGGAAATAATACATCTGCCGCTCGTGTTTGCCTCATGAGTAGACAAAAAATGGTTCAGGTTTTCTATGACCGCACCTAATAATTAAATCCTACATGACACTTTAAGTGGAGACCAAAAGATTACACATAGGCACACGTGATTCGGAGGAAAACAGCTTTTGATGTATCTGTGTTTCCTATAGGTTTTGAAACAATTGGTAAATATTGGGAACATGTATTCGGGTAATGAATATATAACTGTGCATTTTACTTCTCTTCTCAGATGCTTCTACGCCAAATATAATGAGTTTCCTTATACTTTAAAATTCAGTACTAACACAGTTTCTTGGCAAAATGTAGACTATTCGTTCCATTCAATTGCCCTTAGTTATGCTTTATGAACAACAACGGCAATTGCATTTACTACAAGTATGTATATAAAAAATCTCTATCTATTTGATCTGATAATTTCTATATTGAAGCATAAGGAATTTGAGACACTACCTTTAAGCTCACTTTAATTGTTATCTGGAAAAGCGTGACAAATCTGTGTCTAGAGTATGCTGCATAACTTAGGATTGATCAGCGCAAAATATGCATAATAAAAAATGAACTCAAGCGTTGCTAGCCTAAAGTAGATGTAAGAGGAGTGTTCGTCCCTGTAATATATACCTCTCCTGAAGTAGAGCATGACATTTGGGATTTCAGTGGTAAATTATAAACTAAGCATTTCTGCTTCCCTAGGCAGCCTAAAAATTAACTTTATGTGTGGCTTAACCCAACCGGTGGCCACGTATTCTATTTTACAGTGAGAAGCAGTATACATATTTTCAGACATATATCTCATATTTGTTTATTGCATACACTTTCATCTATATTTGTTAGATTTGTAATCAAATACATCAAAATAAACATAAGTACGTATTTCAATAACTTTCCACCATGTAAGGAACTTATAATAATTTTGCAGAAGAATATGTTCCTTATGTAAAAAATATTATCGACCAATTGTTACATTGAAACGTTTTTTTCTTGACATTAATAGTGAAATGGATGAGTTAACAAGGCTTGATAGGATAACCGTGCAATTTCGCTTCGTTCGATATTCCCCACAAATCTACATTTCACATATATAACATCCTAGCTCACATGTCAGCCTTAAATGATTTGAGCTGAGCGTTGTATTAGCAATACATACTTAAACACGAAAAGCGAACTGCGTCTACCCAGCTATAGGGCAAATCACATCCGTTAGTTGAGTTGAAATCCAAAAAAGCAAAACGAATCCAGTCTTTATTTTCTGCGTTCATGGATTAAAATTCGCTGCTGCATAAATATAGTATAAAAATTGGTGATGGACCTAAAACGGAAACAACACCCAATACAGTCAGCTACAGTGCTGCCAGAACTATTTTTCCAATCGGGTTGGTCAACCACGGAACGCTCTTTCGAGTTTGTCATTTCAGCGCCCAAGCTATCCATTTATAAAAAACGACTCGACGACTTTATGGATCATTTATATAACTTGATCTGATTTGGATTCATTGAGTGACGACAAGGTGCAAGCAAAGAGTGTTCTCACCAACCTCACGAAGTCGGGTAAACGAATATAACTATGTGTTAACTTGGATAATATGGTGAGTCCACAGATGTCTTTTTCACTTTTGTGTACCTTCAATGAAGTAACGTTTTTTCCATAAACCATAAAATTTTTCAAGCCTTGCCTCTTTAATCCGTATTATACCATTCTTCCATTGTAAGATAGTCGGTAACAGTTTATTATTAATGTAAAAAATCAAAAGCACTCATCCATATCTCTAACGGCTTCACGTATTAGTTACTTTCAGTAGGAACACATGCAAATACATTCCAAAATAAAACAATTTATGCACTGAAGTGCTGGGAGGTAAACGTAACAAGCAATTTCTTGTTTAATACATCTGATATGGGGAGGAGACAACTGGATTTGAGAGAAGTTCCGTGGTTTGTACACGGGACGAAAAATGCCGTGCCGTCTTCATTATAGGAAGCTTACTGATTGTTCAATTACTTATTGTCAGTTTTATTAGCCGCGAAACGTGAAACTGGCTTTAAATTTCTGAAAGCCTTATCTATTTTGAAATTTAAAGAGATGGATCTTGTGTTGTCGTGAAAATCATGCGCTATCGAAAATGGCAACTGATGTTTAAGTCTAATAAATTTCTGTTTTGGTAGACAGCTATTATTTCACCAAAGACACATGAGACTTATGTTTTCACACTCAAGCTGTTAGCTTTTCTAGGAGACATGGAATATTAATTAAATTACAACTAAATATAGTGACTGGATCAATAACAATAAGCAACATGCTCCTATGGGTTGCTACTCAGATACAAGTCTCAAATGCTAGCCCGCAAGGCGAGCCAAGAGACGGAATACAACGAACAGTAAAAGCGACTGAAGCTAAAACAAATAGAGAGCAGGTGAGCAATAGCAGACAGTTGCGTAGCAACCCGACTCACCGGAGAAAACCAGTTGAACGGGAAGTAAACTGAGCAAAACAAATGGGCGATCATAAAATAAAAGGAACAAGCTTCCGCTATCGCAAAATACTGAATGCCTAAGTGTTTTAGGTTTAATACAATTCCCTGAAAACCGTATACGAATATCAACTAACAAAATGTGTGGATTCGCTTATATGCCGCTTAACCTCGGATGGTGTGGTCAGGTGTTGAATGAGCAGACTGAATTCAACTGCCCAGTTGATAGGTAGTCGGTCAATGCAAGCGAAAAGATACAACTGATGATACTGCTTTTTTAATTTGGCTTTGTTTATGAAATCAAAACTGATAAATATTGCTCTTTCTAGTTACAAGAAAATGTGCCTTATTTGATGATATGCTATTAAATCTGAGTGGTTCTACTGCTTATCGGACAGTGCGCAGTCGATTTCATGTTTTTGTTTATAAATAGTAAGTAGAAACACAAACTAAGGTGTTTTTTTATTTACTTTGTCCAAATTAGGCCCACTATGTCATGAGATAAAATACTGATGGAAAAGGAGATATTGTTAACTATCCTATAAAATTTAGTCTGCGAGTAACTCATGAATATGTCATCCAATAAAACGAAGATAATTCGGTAAACCACCAGGCAAGAGCTTCACATCCAACTATATATTTAAATAAAGACGTAATTTATCATGATTTAGCGCATCACTTGCTTTCTATAAATACCTTTCTTGTGATTGTTTTAGTATAAGAAGTGAAACATGGGAAGAGTATGTCTTTCCGTTTTAATTACTAGCTAGAAATGTGAAGTGAAACAACTACTCTGGTAAGTAAACTATAGGCTGCCAAATGGCTAGGTGGTATTTCTGGTGAACGCAACTAAATTCCAGTGAAAATCATTAAGGCTGCGAAACCTAAAAACAGTTGTTTGCAATACAATAGATAATGGCATATTGCGTCTCAGTTCATGTGAAAGGAAAAATAATTTTCAGTCCATTGGGGTAAAGTACGTTGGGAAAAACTGCAATTACGATTCTAGGGAAGCAAAACGTCTGTAGGATTTTTGCTAAAATTATTCTATTGCATCTTGATTCAATTTGAAATTAGGGAAAGCTAGTG